GATAAGATCAGGCCAGGCACTGGTGGCTCATGCCTATAATCTTAGCTACTCAGGAGGCAGAGATCAGGAGGATCGTGGTTCAAGGCCAGCCCCAGTGAATAGTTCGTGAGACCCTGTCTCAAAAAAACCCATCACCAAAAGGGCTGGTGGGGTTTCTCAAGGTGTAAACCCTGAGTTCAAACCCCAGTACCGAAAAAAAAAAGGTTAAGACAGGTCAGATGGGTGCAGATAACTGCAGTGACCAACAGGGCGCACGGGAAGGTGAGGGAAAGGAAAGGAAAGACACTATGAACACACAGTGGCAAAAGGACATTTGTTGTGCATTCCTGAAGAGACAGGGGACCCTCACAGATACCAGCCAACTTACAATCTTTGGAGCACAGAAGCGTGGGGCAGGCTGGCGCCCTGCTGACGTGGCACCAAGTGTCAGGACAGGGTCTTGGGCCGGGCAGGGCTTTCTGTTCAGAAAGGACAGCGGTGTCTCACAGAGTGACAGAAGAAATAAGGAGATTCCTCCCCCACCTCCTACATTTCAGCCAAGAAAATGACTCAGCTCAGAGTTCTGTTCCCCACTCCCCACGCCCCCCAGGCCAGGCTGCCACTGTGAGCCCGGGGGTCTCTCATTCACTTGTACTGATAGTGACCCTTGAAGGATGGGGCAGGAGGAAAGTGAGCTGGCATTTCTGTTTCGTCTTTTTGTATCCTTAACCACCATGTTAAGCACCTGAAATTCCAGGATGAAGAAACCTGCTCATCTTTATTTTGCTATGTGAGATTCTGCGTGTGCACGTGTGTGTTAGCACAGTGCCTGGCACAGGAGGGCACGACCGTCAGCCCATTTGTTATCATTACTGTGACCACCACTGGTATTAGTTGATCATGCCAAAAAGCAACTGGCCGATGGCGTGGCCTAAGTTGTAATTCACTTCACAAACTGCCAGCCTCAGCCATCTATAAATCACATTTCCAATGCATTGATCCCGTCCACCGTGCGTGTGGAAGGAACGATTTCAGAGCAGGGAGTGTTGCAAAGTGAATTAAGTCACTACAGAAACTGACCACGCTGGCTCCACAATTAAAAGTCTGGTAGAATGAAAGATGGTCATTCCACAGCTCGCTAAGCTTTGAAGAAGATTAGCGCTCACATCTCTCGTGGAAACTCCTAAAGGGCTCAGAGAATTCTGATGATAACACTGCAGTGCACTCTGATTATCAGCTGTTCCTTTCTCTAGAACAAACACTTCCGAAACGAGAAAGACTCTAATGACGCCCTTTGAAAACAGCCATGTGTTCTTGGAGGAAGGAGATCTTAGCTAGAATTCCCTCGTAATTCACAAATATTTAAAATGCAATGTTGAGTTCATCTATTTGTATTTTGTGAAAGCTATATATTTTGTGAAGAGTGTATTTTTCTCACCCCTCTTTTGGAACTAGCAAAAGACAGAAATACATATTTATATCTCCCCGTCTAGACTTCCCTAGCGCTGGCTATTTCCAGCCCACGTTTGGTGTTTTTAACCCCAGGACACATTCCTTCTTTTCATCTCTGTGATCCCTGGCCACGTCTCTCAGGAAGCCTGGCTAATCTCACTGATATTTCTGGGCCATAAATGGACTGAGAACATGTGACTGAGACAGAAATCAGATAAGAACATAGTTCTGGTCCTTTCTTTCACATAAAAGAAGATTTTCTTTTATTGATATGGAAATGAATAGACGTCTGATAACCTTTGGCCAACCTGGAGGTTTCTGCTTCCTCATGGGAATTTGGGTTGATGTCAATTCAGAAGTTTTGTCCCAGATATGGAAATGACCTAGGTTAACTCAAAACTGAGAGGTTCATTCCTTGCCCTCTATTTCTGGCTTGGTGCCTTGAGTGCCTATAAAACAGGAAAGACATTCTGGACACTGGACATGAAATAGGTGCATATTTACACACAGGAACACTACAAAGGGTAACAGGACTGTCCCACTTCAAGTTCCAACAGTACACGACCGCATGGAGAGTGCTGCTATAAACCAGGTGAGCACTTTCTGCCAACTGAGGCGCAAATCTGTCCTCGCCCAGGCAAGGCGCTGCTAGGGAGGACATAGTTAGAGTCTCTTTAAGAGGTGTGTGAGCTTGCAGTTGTCACTTCTCCATTCCAGAGTCTAGAAATAGCCAAAGAAACCACTCGATGACCGGCTCTGCGTCCCCTCCAGAGCTTTCTCCAGAGAACTCAGGTTCCATCCATGGAGCACCCAACCCCATTCTCCTTCTCTCTGAGCTCTGCTCAGATCTGAGTCTATGGCCTCAGTTGACATCATCACCACACCCATTTACCCTGTTACATCCAGGTAGTATCACCTTCTGCAATGAAGCCCTGTCCTCCCATGGCCACACCTCCTGAGTGCTCAGCAACACCAGGGCCAGTCACTAATTTGGGAGACCGAATAAGTTCCAGCATCTGCTCACTCCTCCCTATCAACTGCCCCAAAGATAAAACCAGGGAAAAAGAAAAGGGCATGAAGCACGAATTCGCACAGTGGGAGTTCATGTGACAGTATGATATTTGAGAAATGTACTCATAAAATCAGAACCTGAACTTGGGTTATGTTGCATAAGAAAAGCACTAAATCCTACAAAACACAAATCTAACAGAATCTTCTGTGTGAATAATGCCAGCTTCCACACTTCCTCTATAGAATGAAGCACTTCCCAAGTCTTCACTTAGGTCATTCTTACGATATCCTAACATACTACATTCCTTTTCTTCCACTGGGACGTGAGTGGGAACATTAAAAAATAGGCAGAGAAAACAGACTTACTCAATGTCGCAAAATCCATCAGCAGGAAAAAGAACTAAAACCAATTCCATCCCAAAACAATTTGCCTTTGACGTTCACATGCCTGCCTAGGAGACGTTAATACCATGTAGTAGAAGTTAATACTGTATTTGAGAAAATATTCCCCAAATGCAGTTAAACATCTTAAGTGAATTACAAAGATGATTTTTGTTAATTATCCCTCAAAAACATGTCTTTATCTTCCAGACTCTGATTCTCCAGGACGAATTACATGTTGGAGCCACAAAGACATCTCTTGTTCTAATGAAATTTAACTCCTTCAGTGCCTGAGGGCAACAGAGGTCCACGTTTGCTCAAAAATCCTTCCTGGAGAAGAAAGGCCTTGTCTCCAAATCACACCACCCACCATGCATGCTACCCAATAACATGGCAACCACTAGGTTAAAATGCTAACACGTTAAAAGTGTAACAGGGACTGTACCTAATTAGAGGGGGGTATAAATGCTTCACGCACACACACCCCTAAAATTATTATTCCCAAAGATAAGCAGATTACTATTAAATTGAGGCCCCATGTCTCGTTGCTAACAGCGAGCTAACCCAGCGTGTCCTACGCCTGGAAAATCCCACACACTTGCTTGTACCTAACACCATGCTTCCCCGAGCTGCTTTACACAGAAAACACAGGCAATGGTGGTTCTGTGTGACACCCATGTGTGCACTCAAAGTGGCCCCTGGTGAGTGTGCCCATGGCTGACAGCTCTTCCCTGGTCACTGGAAGTTGGTGTGCAGCACTGAGGTTGGATACATCCAGTGCTTTTCTGGAGCCATCACCTCGCTCCAACCATATGATCAGTTTCCCAATGTCACTTCCATTTCGTTGTGTAAATAAATTGGCAAATATATTGTTACCTCCTATAATACTGTGAACGATTTTCCAGGAGCTTCAACAAAAACAAAACTCCCGGTTTGTGACATGACCCCTTAAATCAGTGTGGATGTGTTTGAGAGTCAACATTTGTCTCTTCTTCCTATAGGTTTTCCTTCCCCTCTTCCATTTTTATGAAAAAAAAATCTGCTTTTGTTTACTTTTGCATACCAATACCAAGAACCTATTAGGAGAATGGGTCCTTGGGACTATCCTGAAATATTTTGGTAAGTTATTAGGATTGCCAAAAATCATATGTTATAATTACTATCTTTAAGATCCAAGGTCCTTCAAATCTTTACCAGATGGTCTGGTCCCATTACACAACCTTAGAGCACCATACACTGCCGTCTGCACAGCACTCAACATACATGTGACTAAACTATAAACTGTACATTGTATGATTGACATCTGTATCCTCCATTGGAACACAAAATGTATGTGGACAAGGTTTGTCCTGATGTGTACTTGTTATTTTCATTGCTGTGCCTGTCATTGAGGATGGAAATTAATGACTATTGCAAATGAGCAAAAGGGCAGATAAACGTATGGCTGCAAGAAGGTGTTATTAGCCTTCAAGGGTGAGAAAAGCTTTCAGACCCCTGAGATCTGTTCTTGGGGTGTCAGGCAGGTTTATCATGGAACTACAAAAATGGCAAAGTCACAACAATCCATGAGTTAATTATTCCTGAGATAAGTTCTGGATTCATAAAACCAGTTCTCCTGGTGGCAATTTCCCACACTTTAAATTTTTCAACAGCCTGTGGGTAGTTGTTTAATTTAACCCTTGTATGTAAAAACATCAGCGTGTGTTTGGATAAGCAGATGAGGCAAGCAGATGTAGTTATTCCTAAACTCTACTACTCAAAATCACAATATTTCACTTCAAAAGTCACAGAAATATCAACCAGAAAATGCCATGGAACTGTGCAGAAACCTGCAACGCAATCCACTGTTTTCTGGATATTTCTAACCACAGATAAAATCCCTTTGAAGTGGAAGAGTAAATATTATCATTTGATAGACTTGGACCCAACAGTGCAAATACAATTGCATTGTGTCACACTCAGGGGGCCCTGGGCGGTCCCAGCACGCGGGCTGGGTTGCTATGCAGGAATCAATATGCTTATTAGCTCAGAAGCAGCCAGGTCGTCGCGCTGCTCTTAGGGGCGACCCACCTCTTAATCCCCCTCAGACAGACACAGAATGCTAAGGTGTTGGGGAGGGGGCAGGTAGAATGGCTTGCCAGTGGTTTCTGCTTCTGTCATCCGGGGAAGGAGGAGCCCTAGGGGACCGCCAACTCCCCAGCACCAGCTTGCCCTGCCGCCCCTTCTGCAGAGCACGCCGGCTGCGCTCGCGGTGCGTGTGGAAAGATCCCGCGGGCAGCCCGTGTCCCCCAGGAAGGCCACCTGGGGGCGCGTGCCTGCAGGATTGGCGAGCCGGCTCCCCCGCCCGGGAGGGGACCCGCGCCCGCCCGCGCGCTCACCTTGGCCGGGAAGGGCCCGGGGAGCAGCAGCTTGAGCGCCTGCCTCTTGAGCTCCACCAGGCGGGCGTTGCAGTTCTCGCACCAGACGCCGCGGTCCGAGCCGGGGGAGGAGCCGCCGCCGCTGCCCGAGCCCGGGGAGCCGGTGCCGAAGCCTGGCGAGCCGCCCAGGGAGCCCGGCGAGCTGGTGCCGATGCCCGGGGAGGCGGGGCCCGGGGAGCCGGTGAAGGAGCTGGGGGACGAGGTGCCCGAGCCGGGGGACGGGGTCCCCGACGAGCCGAGCGCGGAGCCCGCGCCCTCGGGGGTGGGCCGGCTTCCCGCGCGCGACTCCTCGTACGCCTTGCGGTACCAGCTCTCGGGCGAGAAGGGCGCGGCGGGCTTGGTGGGCGAGCACACCTCGTTCACCTGCGGGGAGACGCCGGGGGTCAGGGCCGCGGGGCCGGGGGCGCCGTCCCGCCGCTCCCACGCTGCCCTCCATCTCCCTCCTTAACCGTCCTGAGCGAGTGCGCTCCGCGCGGGCGCCGGCGGACTCCCCCTCGGGTCCCGAGAAGGGCTTGCGGGACTGGGGGGGTCCACCGGTTGTGCAGGGAGATCCATAGATCCAACGCCCCGCGCCCCCACCCCAGCTAAAGCCCGGGCACAAGCTCCAGTCCCGGGGTGAGGACGGTCACTTGGTGGGCTTATTCTTCGGGGTACAGCCCTCCGATCCTGCAGGCACAGGACAGGCTCTCCCGGCTCCGGGGAAAGCATCTGAGGATGGGCAGGAAATTCCCGGGAAACACTCCCCTTGGGCTTAAGTCTGCCTGGAAGTGCAGGAATCCTGCAAAAGTTAAGGGTGCGGGGAAAGGAAGGGACGAAAGGACGGAAAAAATCCGGGAGCCAGAGGAACCGCAGACCCGCCCGGGCGCACGCACAGCCCGGTGGCCGCGGAGGAGCCCGGGCTGCGGGCCGCCGGCTCCGCGGGGCCGCCCTGTGCGGCGCAGGTCCCTGGGAAGGGGAGGACCGTGCAGGGATGGATCTGGGAACGCGTCCCCGCGTCGTGCCCGCCAAAACTTACCCCGTATTTCTTGCCCCTGGTGGAGACCGCAAGCCTGTCTTTATTCCCAGCTAACGAATTCATGGTGGCTTTTCCGGAGGAGAGGATTTAAATGTTCCAACAACGCTACATCCACAAGGTCTGCCAACCCAGAAGCTTGCCCCGGTGGTGGGGGGCTGTCTCTTGGCCCTCGAGTCAAGATTTCTTAATTGGGGACTGGGGAGAATAAAAGCAAATGGACCCCAGAAGTAATAGCACCAGTTTGCAGAAGGGGTCGGAGTGGCTGGTTATTCTTCGCCTCCAATAATGCCTCTCGTCCTCTTCTGCCTCCGCCAGCCGCACGTTCGCTTTCCACGGTCACATCCACATCGTCGGCATTTTCCTGGGCCAAGTCAGTCCGTTCTCCTCCCGAGGGTCAAGAGGAACGCGCTGGGGACGCGGGGCAGCGGCGGGGACGCTGGGCGAGCCCTCGCCTCGCCGGGCCGGCGAGCCGGCTGCGGGAACTTGCCTCCTTCCCCGAGCTTGCGAACTGAGTTCAAAGAAATGCTCCCAAAATATAAAGATCCAGCTCGGGGAGGAGCCTCGGCGTGTCGCCGAGCCAATATGCGGCGGCCCGCTTCGCCTGACAGTTGCGCGAGGGCAGGAGAGGGGCGGCTCTGCGTGGCCAAGAGCCGCCCGCGGTCAGCGCGCGCGTGTGCGCCCGGGCGCAGCGCCGAGCCTCGGGAACCGCGGCCCCGCCGCCCCGGAGCCCGCCGCCCGCCAGCCACCGCCGCCGCCGCCGCCGCGCCGGCCGGGATCCATGTTATGGCGCGGCGCTGCTGCCTGACATTGCGAGGCCGAGCCGGGGCGGGGTGGGGTCGTAAATCTCGCCGGCGGCGGGGAAGTTCCTGGCGCGGGGCCCGCGGCCGGGGCTCTGATGAAAGCCCGCTGCGCGAGCCGGAGCCCGGGGCAACGCGGCGCGAGAGTGGCCGGGGCAGGACGCAGACGCGGCGTCCCAGCCGCCCCCGCCCCCAAGAGCTTTCTCTTCCCGGCGAGGCTTGCAGGTCTGCCGCGGAAAGCCAATTGAGTCACAAACAAGTCCCCAAACAGGCCGGGGCCTCCCCCCCGCCCTTTGTTCTCCCAGACCTGCCCTGCAACCCTTTTTGGAATTGCCCTACCCACCCGGGGCGGGCCGGGGGCCTCCCTCCCACCACAGCCCTGGACAGGGGCCTCCGCCCCCCGGTCCCCGCCCGCCGCGGCAGCCCGGATCCGCCGTGCGCAGAGCCCCGGGGCTGGCACAGGTGAGCCCAAGGACCCAGCGGGCCGCTGCCGGGCAGGGGAAACCGAGGGATCCGCCGCGCTGCACACGCGCAGCGAGAACGGCGCGGGCCCGGAGGGGGGTGTGGCGCGAGCCGGCCTTGGCCTCTCCTTGCCGAGGGTCTGTCCCCCCCCCCACCCCCGCTTCCACGCTTTTCTTCCCGCGCCTGGCGCCTGCGGAATCTCCAGAGCCCCCGTCATCGCACGATCCCCGCCCCCCACCCCGGCGCAGCGCCCCGGAGCGCAGGGAGCCGGCATCTGCCAAGCTCCACACGTGGCTGCCCGGGGTGTCATTTTTCATTTCCCGGGAGGACATTTCTTCTGGTGAGCCGGCAGGTCTATTTTGTTGTGACCTTTAATTAACACCCCGCGAGACGCCGCCAGAAGGACCAGCCTGTGCGGGGGGTCACGTGTGGTGTAATGGCATGCGCGCCCCCCGGGGAGACCCGGCCTGGGGCGGGGCGGGGGGCGCAGAGGACGTTTCGGGCTCTCCAGTCGCTCGGGGGCTGAGGGTGGAGGGGCAAGAAGATCATTTTTCGGGGTGCTGAGGCCCTGAGGCGACGCCCCCCACACATCCTGCCATGCTCAGGGACCAGTCCGTGCCTCTCCCACGCTGCCATCCCCGCCCCCCCCGCCCCTGCTGCAGCCCTGGCGTGGGAATATTTCACAGGCACCAAAGCCTGTAAGAAGGTCAGGATGAAGATGTTGAGAACCGTGTGGAAGTTTCCATGACGTTCCCACTTCCCATTTAAAAGCGACCGTATCTGTAGAGGACCTGGGGGGGACAGGTACGCCTCCGGGGCGCACGCGCCAGCTCCGGCCCATCCGTATTCTGCCCAGGTGCCGCGGGAAATGCCGTCGCCATTAGCTGCGCGCGGCTGATGAGCCGGAAAGCTGCGTGCGGCCAAGTGACATGGACGGGCCCGTGCAGCCCAGGGCCGGGAGGGTGGGGTGTCAGGGGAGCCACGGCACAGCCGCGCCATCCACCCCCGAGATGCGTGAGCCCGGAGCGGGGCTGAGGTGCAGCCCCAAGTACCTGCGGCCCCAAGGCGCGTTGGACGGGCTCCGCGCGCCCTCTGTTGGTGGCGTTTTAGACCTGGAGCCCCTCCACTGAGTTGCTCCTAAAATTTTTCCCAGTGAAATGCATGAATTTTAAGTGTCCGATTCCATGGATTTTATGACTGTGCATACTCTTGTGCAATCCAGATATCGATTCCATCACCCGTTCTCCTCCCAGACAGTCTCCGTCCCCCCATAAACAACCGCTGTTCTGACTTCTATCACCCCTGATTGGCGTTGACTGATGGTGAATGTTTTTGTTCAAAGAATGCACAGAGCATGTGCTCTTTTGTGTTCTGCGTTCATGTTGTTGCTTGCACGCGTCTGTTTTCTATTTGTACTGTGTTTTTCATTCCTCCATCTTCTGCCTTCCTTTGTTAATTAAATCTTTTTTTTTTCCTTGTATTCCACTCTCATCCTTCTGTTGGATTTTCGTCTCTAATGGTTATAATATGTGGTGCTGGGGTTTGAACTCAGGACCTCGAGCTTGCTAGGCAGGTGCTCTACCACTTGAGTCACAACCCGACCCTTTTTGCTTTATTTTTCCCATAGGGTCTGTGTTTTTTGCCCCTGCGGGCGGAGGACAGCGATCCTCCTGCCTCTTCCTCTTCCATCACTGTTAGAATCTGCATCTTTAACTTATCATGGGCAGGCTGCATCAGTGGAATTCCAGTTTACCTCTCTCCTTTGAAGTAATATTTTAATATATTTTGTAACTGGGTACATTACAAAACTCACAGTTTATCAATTTTTCTGTAAGCAATCTGTTATCTTTCCAACCAAACTAGAAAAAAAAAGTCATATTTACCCAGTTTTAGCATTTCTGAGATTTCATTTTTTCCCTATAGAGCCAAATTTCCAACTGAATTGTCCCCTTCAGCCCGAAGAACTTCCTTGAGTGTTTTTAAAGTGAGGGTCTCCCAGACACAGATCCTCTCAGATCCTGTTTATGTGAACATGTCTTGGATTCGCTTTTGTGTCTGAGGACTCGTTTCACTGGATGGAGAATTCTTGGTGTTTCCTTCAGTCCTTGGAGGAGCCTTGCCCTCTGACCCTCATTTCTGGTCACAGCTGAGCTATTCTGTGGTCATTCCCTGTATGTGATGCATCATTTTTTCCTCAGGCTGTTTTGAAGACTTTCTCTCTACCTTTGGTTTTCAGAAGTCTGACTCTGTTGTCCCTGGATGTGGTTCTCAGCTTTCATCCTGTGTAGAGTTTGCTGAATTTGTAGGACCTCTAAGTTGGTCTGTAAGTTTTTCACCAAATTTGGGGGATTTTTAGTAATCATTTATTCAAATACTTCCCTCCCACCCTGTTCCATCTTTCCTCTCCTTCTGGGACTCCAATAATGAGTTGCACTGCACTGCCAGGTGTGTCTCCTGGCTGCCAGAGCCCCGTCTGTTACTTCAGTCTGTTCCCCTTTGTTCTCAGATGGAATCATTTCTGTTGGTACTGTCAAAGCTGCCCGTGACCTTTTCATTTCAGATACCGTGAATGTATGCATCTCTACGCCTTTTCCTTTAAGTGCTTGAACAGGGTTATGGTAGCATCTCTCAGGTTCCTGCCTGAATTCCCACATCTGACTCCTCTGGAGGTCACTTTCTGTTTGCTGATTTTTCTCTTGACTGTGAATCCACTTTTCCTGTTTCGTGTCCACTGAGTTTTAACTCTGTGCCGAGTACTACAAATGCCACCTCGTAGACACTGATTCTGTCCTCTTCCTTGAAGAGTGTTTTACTTTCGGTCTAGCAGGTGCATCACCGTGAACTTGGAGAGCCTTGGCTCTTCACCCTTGGTGACTGTCACATGCACCTTTAAACTCGTCACGGTCCACTGAGAGTTAACCTGCCCCTTCTTAAACGTAGACTTGCAGTAGAAGAATTTCGTTTTGCCTCTCTGTTTGTTATAGTGCTTCTCTTTCACCTTTGCCCTTAGACCTAAGAAATAAATCCCTTCCTCCTGGGATTTGTTCTTTATATCTAAGATGTGGCCCGTCTGGAGCTCCATGGAAAACCCAACAGGTTTACCAAGGCCTTCGAACTTGGGACTCAAACTCCGAGCTCTGCTCAGCTGAAATCTCTGCTTGACTTTTTTTTTTTTTTTACCATCTGCATGCTGCTTTTCTTGGACTTCTTATAGCTCTATTGTTTTTTATTATTATTAATCTGGGAAGTACTTGCTGTGAAGTCAGGGCCCTACACTTGCTAGGCAGGCGCTCTACCACTTCAGCCACACCTGCAGCTCTTCACTGATCTAGTTACTTTCTGGATAGGAACTCAAGTTTTTGCCCAGGGTCAGCGTCAGACCACGCTCCTCCTCCATAACCACACCTCCCAGGTGGCTATGAGTATAGACAATGACCCACCATGTCTGAGTTGTTTGTTGAGATGGGATCTTGCTAACATTTTGCCCAGGCTGGCCTCAAACCATGATCCTCCCAATCTCCATGTTGCAAATAGCTGAGATTACAGGTGTGAGTCACTGCACCCAGCCTTCTTGTACCTCTTGATACATTCAGAATTCACAATTATCGGCCAAAGATTAGATAGAGAGAGAAGCAATGTAGACCTCAGGGCTGCCATCCCAAGGCGGTCTCCTCTCCAGGATTTCCTTCCTCCTTTTTCAGCCACACTCACAGCCGTGAACCCGGCCATGCACTCCCTCAAACTAGTAAGACGGCTGCCTTCAGCCTAGACAAAGGCCATATAACCCTCCCTTTGGGGACAGAATCCCTCCAGGCATCATTTCTGCTGGGGACTTTCCCTAGTCCCCTAAAGAGGTCCGTTGCCAGCCAGTTCATAATAGTCTTCTTTGGGGAATTCAGTTTGGTACGTGAGGAACCCCAAATTCTACTTTAATGATTTTTTTTCATGTCTACCTTGGGCTTTTAGAATTCTTTTATTTTTTCAGTGCTGGGTATGGATCAGGGTCTGGCACATAAGTGTTCTACCACTGAGCCACACCCAGCCAAGGCTTTTGGAATTCTCAGTTTCAAGGGTCTTCCTGTCTTCACATTCTGCAGAGACCAGCCATAATGGTATTTTCTGCTAGACTGAAGAATCCCAATGCCAATGGAACCCTTTGGGGGGGAGAGAGAGGTAAAATAGAAAAAAAAAAACATAGATGCATGGCTCACTTCACATTCAAAGATGTTAGCAGCATTGCTTCAAGATTTAGGTTTAAAAAACCACTCATTATAGCAATGAAAATTATATACTACTTTGTAAAAGCTCAGAGCGTCTATGAACACCAATTTATTGGTTTCATTGATTACACTGAGTGAAAAACAGCACTTTACTGCCTGTGAGCACAAAGTGGGGAAAACGAAAGTTAGGGTCCATTTACCTGATAAGAATGAAATT